TATATATATATATATATATATATATATATATATATATATATATAATATCAGATATGGAATGAAGAAGCCTGGGAAATTGAGAACTTTTCATTCAGAATTCAGAACTTCTTCTGTGTGGCCCGATCGTCGTTTATTTTAGCCACCCAAGTTTGGAATTTGAAATATTAGGATATGATTGCGCGCGCGTGAATGTACGAAGGACGAACGTTTCAACGATCCACATGGTGAATTCGATAAATTCTATAGTATAGAGAGTAGCAAGACATGAGAAAGTGAAGACTTGTAGCGAGTAGCGAGTCATGATAGCGTGAGAGTTTAAGTAAGATTAATTTAGTAAGGTTATATCGTCGCCATATTGGGACTTTCCTGTTGACTCGTATTTAATAAATTTTGTTTAACTTTATTTAAAACCACATAGATAAAATATTGACAGATAATTTACGAGTAATTTATAGATTAAAGCCAGTCACTCATCCCGTAAAGTTCAGTGTATCTGAGCAACGGCGGGTTAAACAACTGCTTGATAGTGTTTCTAAAGCAATCGATTGTCGAGAATCTAGTAAGCAGTAGAGGTACGTTTCTCGGCGGTCAGGGCACGACTACGTTATTTCATTTGGTCGATTTGATTTCTCGATTACGTACGAGGCAGAAACAGATGTTCCATCTAAATTTCGCGCGAGAAGAATCCGACCGGCGTCGTCGCCATTGTCGATCGTGGCCATCTCGGAGCTGTGGCGCGCTAGCTGACGTAGAAAATGCGGCACACAACCTTCCTCGTGCACGGGGAGGTTGCGAGGTGGGTTATTGGAGAGCCGTGGAATTCGAAATTATTGGCCTGGTGTTCATCGAGCCCTGCTACTGTTTCCTCGTCGACGACGATGGCTCAGGTGCGTTGCCTGCGGTATTGCAGTCTCCAGACGAGCCCGAAACACCGCGGCACTCATGAATATCGATCGGACCGGTCGATTAAAACGCTACGACCCGCGAGACGGTGTTGCTCGTCTACAACAAAACCGTAAAAACGATTCGCGTTGCGATCCGTGAAATATGAGACGATTTTCAGCGAGACGAACATTTACGAACGATATATGAGAGTTTTCGTCGTGCGAGTAGCGAGAAGGAGATAATTACACGTGAAAAAATAAGAGAGAGTGAAGCTCTTTTTTGGAGAAATCGACATGCAAAAATGTACAGATTACATGTGTATGATATGCAAAAATATAGGTGTGAAGTAACGACAAAATTTCGTATAACGAAAGGTTAAATAAGCCTGGGAAATTATTTAAAAATTAGGTTGTAATATGATAAAAACCTGATCGAAAGGTACACAAAAATTGTTATTGGTTTTATTTAACAGTGGTTAGAAAAAATGAAAGAGTTTCGCTTGAGTTTGCGTCCTCCTTAATGAAAGTTTCTAACTAATTACTGGCAACTAGAAATCTTTCGTTCGCGAAAATATTCGAACAATTTCCGTTATTTCGTTAACACTAATGGAACCTAATTGCCATGGCTATTGGTACAGTTTGAAACAAATCTGAAGAAAGTGTTAATTAGACCTCAATATTGAGCCTAATTACTTTTATGCT